CAATTTAGTTGTCATCCATGTTATATTATTGAATCTGTATCATTTACATGTTAATATAGCTTGATATACAATGTATGATACTGAAATAAGTGGAAACTTATTGTGAATGTTCTCTTATTTGTTTTTTATATAGGGTAGGATGTAATTTAATATGGACATGATTTTAGTTTTACTCCCCATAATGTATTTTTTTATTTTGGGTACTATAACTAAAGGGTGTAAGAATTTTGGCTTAAAGTGCAAGAATTTTGGTTTAAATGAAAGGATTTTGGTTTGGGTGCAAGGCTTTTAACTTAAAATGTACGTGTTATGACTTAGGTTGTAAAGTTTTTGACTTGGGTGTAAGAGATATGGCTTGAACACAAAGCTTATTGCTTAACATACAAGGGGTCTAGTTTAAGGTTTCTGGCTTAATCATATAAATCATTCCTCATATATTCTCGTGAATTTTTTCTCATATTAATTTACATATAATTAGTTGTCATTTTCAAATGATTATAAGGTTATTGACAGTGGGTATTCTCTGTGTATTTGATTTATATATTATTTGATTTATATATAATTCATAAGATATTACATATAATTGTCTAAGTCAAAAACTCTGCACCCCAAGTTAAAAGCTTTACACCCCAGTCATAATCCCTGTATATCAGGCTAAAAGCTTTGCACATAAGTTAGAACCCTTACACTCAAGCCACAACCGTTGCACCTTAAGTCATAAGCCTTGCATTCAAGCCAAAAGCTTTTGCACCCTGAGTTAGAATTCTTACACCTTCTAGTTGTTGAGTTTACATGTAATCAAAGAGTGTTGATATTTTTCAATAACACTTTTTGGCAACCCTTCACCTGTTACGAGGAGCTCCGACAAGTGTGATATCACTTGTTAGAGCTCTGGCAACCATATTTTATGCCTTCTTGAAAAGAAAATTAATTAACACATATAAATATTTTGATTATTTATTTAAATTATTTAATAAATAAAAGATTAATTTTAGTCCTTCAAGTTTATTTGGTTCTAGGAACCAATTTTATTTTTAATTAGGTCCCAATAAACTATCATGATGATTTTTTAATATTTGTTGATGTTAATCTGTTTTACCCATAAAAAAGGATTTTGGACGAACATACTTTTTTTTTTTAATTTAAAAAAGAATCATACGATTTTTAAATAATAAAATAAAAAAGAAGAGGGAGAGAGTTGGCAGGCGTGAACGTGAATGTTGCAGAAACACATCACGTGATTTCTGTCAGCTTCATTTGGAATTACATTTCCGATCGGATTCAGTCCTTTCCACGTGATTTCTGCTCCCTCCTTCCTTTTTTGTCTGCCTTTCAGGCTTTCACTCCCTCCATACCAGATTGCTCTCTCATATTAAAATATGGAATATTATTAATCAATTAACTGTTTATGAAAATATTAATATTAATTGAAATGTTAATATTTGTTAAAAAAAATTAGATTTTTTCTATTTTACTGTCATTAAACATTTTATATAAGTGTTTTTGGTAATAATAATTAAAATTTCAATCTATCATTTAAAATAATAATAATAAATAAAGTAAAAGCATAATTGAAAAAAAATTATAAACATCATTCGATGCCCTACATTTTTTACCAAGCAAAGCTTTTAAAAAACTTCTTATATTATGATTCTAAGATAGTATAACACAATGTAAGAAAAAGTCATGCACATCAATAAAAACACAATATTAGCAACTTACAAACTTACTTTCTCAAAAGAAAGCTATAAATTACTAAAAGAAAAAATAGCATTTAAGGACTACTAGGTGATATTTATATGAGATAAAGATCAAATAATTTGATAATAGCATTGCAGTTTTCTGATCTTTTTGACATATTGATTCTATAGGAGAAAAGATTGAAATGCCTTTCATAGTTAAAAAAACAAAAAGAAAAAAGAAACCTCCACCGTTGTTGGCGCCGATTGTCAGACCATTGTCGGCGACGAGGTCGTTGGAGCCCTTGCTGCTAGTAGGATCACCAATGCTAGTCGAGAATATTTTATTTGAGAAATGAGGTTTTTAGGTAGCCAAGGGTGGGATTCATCCCATGACCCTCGGCCACTTAAAAAGTTTTTTTGTGGCCACTAAGCTTCCAAACCCTTTAATGATATATAGCAAAAAAATATAAGTAATAAATCAAGTACAAAACTACTTTCATATAATAACTTAATGGTGTGTTATTATTTTCTGAATGAAACTTATTATTTTACAAATGTCACTTGTTAATCTGACATGGACAATTACAAATTGGGGCTTTAAAACTTCAATCATTTTACTTGTTAAATGTCCCAATATATTATTGTCAATCATGAATAGTTTGTTGTCAAAACCAAACGGGCACTTATTAGTGAATGACTAACACGTACAACTAAACCCTTTTCTATCAATTTTTTTAACTTGTTAAAATTATAATAGATTCTTGTTAATGAATTGTTGTTATTTTACAAATATCACTTATTAATCTAACATGGACAATTATAAATTGAAGGCTTCAAAACTTCACTCATTTTATTTCTTAAATGTCCTAATGCATTGTTGTCAATCACGAATAGGTTATTGTCAAAACCCAACAAGTACTTGTCAATGAATGATTAACACGCACAACTGAATCCTTCCTATCAATTTTTCTAACTTATTAACACCATAATAGATTCTTGTTAATTTTAAATAAATTGTTATTATTTTACAAATGTCACTTATTAATCTGATATAGACAATTACAAATTAAAGGCTTCAAAACTTCAATCATTTTACTTCTTGAATGTCCTATTGTATTGTTGTCAATCACAAATAGATTGTTGTCAAAATCAAACGGATACTTGTCAGTGAATGACTAATACGTACAACTAAATATTTCCTATCATTTTGTTAACTTGTTAAAATCATAATAGATTCTTATTAATTTCAAATAAATTGTTGTTATTTTACAAATGTTACTTGTTAATATAATATGGACAATTATAAATTGAGAGTTTCAAAACTTTACTCATTTTACTTATTAAACGTCAAATGTGTTGTTGTCAATCATGGATAAGTTGTTGTCAAAATTAAATAGATACTTGTTAGAAAAATTGATAGAAAGGGTCAGTACATGTTAGTCATTCACTGACAATTACCTGTTTGGTTTTGATAACAAACTATTCGTCATTGACAATAATATATTGGGATGTTTAACAAGTAAAATGAGTGAAGTTTTGAACTTCTTAATTTGTAATTGTCAATGTCAGATTAATAAGTGACATTTGTAAAATAACAAATTTCGTTCAAAAATTAACAACACACCATTAGGTTATTATATAGAAATGGTTTTGTATTTGGTTTACTACTTATATTTTTTTTTTTGCCATATATTATTAAAAGGCCTAGTGGCTCCCAAACTTTTTAGGTGGTCAAGGGTCATGGGATCAAACTCACCCTTACCCACCTAAATACCTCATTTCTCAAATAAAATGTCAGTGTTGGAGGTCTGACAACCTCATCGACAGTAGGGGCTCTAATGACTTCACCATCGATGGTGGTTTGATGACCAGAGCTAGCGACGGTGGGGGTTTCTTTTTTTCTTTTTACTATGAGGGGTATTTCAGTCTTTTCACCTATGGAATCAATATGTCAAAAGGATCAAAGGACTGTTATTATCAAATCATTTGGTCCTTATGAGATATAAATTTTACACTCTTGTCCTTGGATGCTATTTTTCTTTATTAAAAATGTCCCTACACACTTAATCATTATGTTACAATATTATTTTAATTATTTTTTATTTGAAAAATAATATTAAAAAGTATTATTAATGAAACATTTTTTAAGTTGTTTTATATTTTGAAACAATAAGATTTTTTAATGTTGCCTCATAATTTCAACAGTAAAAATATTTTTTAACTCAAGCTCAGTCCAAAAAGACTAGAGTTAGCAAATTACAAGACTTGTCAATAATTTATAATTAATATTAGTATATTAATAAGTAAAATTAACAAATTAACAACTGTTATTATTGCTTGTCAGTAAAAATGATTGGACAATTGATGTTTAAATCTTATATGATTATTCAGATGTCAAGTCATGTAATTTATAACAAATCATGTAATTTACAACTCATATTGATAAATTAATAAATGAAGTAAGAAAATTGACAACTAATAATTTTATATTTTGAACAAAATTAATAAGTAAAAAATATTTTAATTTTTTTATTATTAAAATTATTTTTATTTTAATCTTTTTGAATTGAACTAAAGTTTTAAAATTTTTTAAAACTTATGAATAATTAAATCACATCTGTCATCATTAGTTGAAATTCTCCCAATAATGTATCAAATCAAGTCGACATGCTCACATGCTTTGCCACAACTTGTTTACACGGGAGTCACGAAAAGCCTAATATACATTCTTTTTACTCATCCTGACAGAATTTGTTGCCTTCATTTGGAAGGGCCAAACTAAATCTTCTATCCCTAAATTTTCTATTTGAAATTTCTTTCCACCCTTAAAGATGTGTTTGGTTGAAGTTTTTGGAGAGGAGAGGCAACTGAGGAAAGTTGATTCCCTCACCTCAGTTAGCTATCAAACTACTCTTGATATTAAAAAATTGACTTATCTTCCTCTCTCCTTTAACAAAAAATTTATCACATTATAAAATTAAATATATAATTTTAAAACATACACTATGAAATTAATAAATTATACTATAACTATTTATTTTCATCTATGATTGTATTTTGCAATAGTCTAACCATCTGTCCTAGTTTAAATGGACAGCACTACTTTCATGTATTGAAAATCTCTTATCTGCCACTGACATTTTCTATATCAAATATTAACTACTTTGAACAAAAAAGTATCCACCAAAAAAGAAAACAAGAAGAAGAAGGAAATAAAGTATCTTCTCCAATCCCGTCTCTAGCCAACCAAAGAGAAAAATTCCTCCAATATTAGCATGATAGAAGCCTTGCAAAGGTGCTAGCGTGCTGCAAAAGAAGTATAATGTAATGTTGCAGAATCAAACAGCAACAAAAGCAATCTATTGTTATAGAGTATAAATGAGCATACGAATTTTTTAAGAATAAGTAACTGAAGGATGCTAATAACTGCAGAACATCATTCATCACCCAAAATCATTAGTTATTGCATATATAGCACTTCCAAACCCAATCAATAAATGAGCCACACAGTGCTTATTTTCCAAGCCACACTCACTGATGGGTTGAACAAAGAATGTGGACACGTCAAGTTTATAACACCACCATCACCAAAAACACACACTTCCAATTCTGTATGATGCGCTCTTTTGAGAGCTTATTGAGATTACAGTCGGCATTCCACGTCCTTCTGTTCATAATCACACAATATATGGTGCACTTTATTACGCTGCCCACACAATGCACTGGTGTTGCCCTTTCACTGATGCTTCTGGAAATTCACAATACAACATTCAAGTCAGAAATCTCTGTTATTTTTTGCACGGCTGAAAGTAATTTCAGTCCTAAACATCCAACAAACTGGAATGTCCTCTTTACATGAGGAGAATTTGCTAAACAATTAGTAAGCTAGAGTTAAATTGTCACAGGTGTCCACATGTCATATTTCCATCTGAGAATTAGGTGCATGTTCAAAGTTGTCCACATAGCAATCGTGTAGATAGCTTCAGCAAAATCTTGTAGAAAGAAAAAAATGATCCTTACCATACCGGGATTTGGTAAATGATCACAGTATATTGTTACTCAGAGACTGTCTTGCATCCAAGTGAAACTTTTTTCACAGGCAAAATTACGGACATGAAATTTAAGAGAATGGAATTAAAACTCGGTTTCAGCATGAATTATAAATCAAAAAAGCAATTAATAATATCCAATTTACTGCAGAAGCACCAACCATGAAAACAAGAAGAGCTCTACTTGAATAAAAAGGAACTGTCACATTGAAGCTTATCCGTTTTTCCTCATACAAGTATCCTGCAGAGACAACACGTGTGAAGAGATTAAGACAAACACTGTTCAACAAGAAAACTTCTAGACCTTAATAAAACCTACTGGAATTAAATGATGTTTGTATTTGTTATTGAAGGCAAAGTGCAACCTATGCGTAAGCGGAAGGCTAAACCAAGCAGTCATCTAAGATAAAAACATTTTCGGTTTAGGAGTTGGAGTTGAGGGAAAATCCTAAAGTCAAAGGGAAAACACATTTAAAGAAAGAAGAGACAAATTTGAAAGAGCTTCGATTTCTATACACAACTAAAAGAAGATTAATAATTTAGTTCTTTGAAAGATCACTATATTCTAGATTTAACAGTACAAATAATTCGGGACAAACCCTACGCAACTATATCTCAAGTATTTGACCTTGTTTTGTCTAATTCCTTTCTTGATAGCCAGAGACCAAAACTCCAAATCCCTTTTGATTTTTATCAGCTTGTGGTTCGGAGGATGGAATCAGAATAATAGTTCAGAATTAAAAATTTGATTCCATCAAAAACTGAAATGACATAGAATCTCAAATTAGTTGTTTGGATTGTGCAAACTTTTGCCGCAAGTCCTCCTGCTAAAATGAAAATAACGGCTCCTTTTGCAATTCCTTGAATTTAATCAATTAAAATTCACATGTAACAATAAAATAGGGACATAGAAGGTCCAATTGCTTTTCTGTGGTTAAAAAGCCAAATTATGAGTGCCAAATGGACCTAAAAGTCTTTTTGTCTCTAAAATTCTCACTTGTCAGGAAGAAACCCGAAAAACTGCATCAAATGGCCAAAAGTGCTGCTTCCTCCCCACCCCTCTTCCTTTAATTAATGTCATTTTCTCTTTCTATCATTCTACAGTGTTTTTCTAATCTTCTAATATTCATTTGATATAAAATTTCAGTTTTTTTCTTCCTTCTAAGGATCAGGTTGAATTCACAATTTTATCACAGTCCTACTTCAGCGGTTTGCCAATTTTGTCAAAAACTTCCCAATTCTAAGTTTATATCGTCCACCAATCCCCACAGGTGAGAAGCAGAAAAACACAAATCCTCAAGAACCATGATGAAACAGGACATGAAAAAAATAAGTATCATAAGCATAATCAACGAATGGAAATCATTTTTATACTAAGAGAAACTACAAGCTTTGAAACTTACATCAGAAAATATGAGCATCACCCTTCATCTTAGATGCATATTAGCAAGGAAATCTGATAGCCTGTCCACCCCATGCATCAATTAGTGAAATTTAAAATAGATGAAGTAGAAGAACAGACGAAAGGTTGAACAGAGCAGAAAATAAGATAAACAAATTGATAAAATGAAAGAGCAAACCTGATGTCCTTAGCGATCACAGTGTTGCCATCTGCAGCCCCAAGATGCCTCAGAACTGCCTGCTCAAGTCTGCCATCTCGGTAAGCATGCTGCAAAAAGGAGAACAGAGATGACGTAGGCTCCCATCAATTTATAAACACCACTTAAACCACTAATTAAGCATCAGCGTTAATACAAGTCAAAGTCAAGACAACAGCTAAGCATTTTAGTGGAATGATGAATATGAGAAATAGAAATCATATTCCACAAATACAACTGCATATCTTTATCTAGTTATGTAATTAATCATCTAATTAGAAGGTAAAATATCAACCATTTAATTATTCTATTGCTGTATTATAAATCATAATAAAAATTTGATTTACTTGGAAAAATAGATTGAATTTGACCTCTGTTCACAAAGATAAATTAACAATGCTATTAAGTCTTAGAACAAAATAAAAACTAAATACTCCATATCTGAAGATACAGGTTGAATGACATATTTTTAGGGGAAAAAGAAACAAAAAGATAACGCAAAAAATAGAACTAATAATATTCATAAATTACCTTGTAGAAACAGCTAGTACCAAAAGGGCAGGTTCCATTCCCAAAGTCAAAATGCTTGCAATCAATTGACCTACAAATGGGATTCATTAGTTACATATATGTATATATGGACATTCATGTTTCCACCAAGAATCATCATGTAGAATCCATACTTTTCCTACACATACATACCAATAAAGAGAAGAATGAGAGGTGAACTGGTGAAGTAGAATTACCAATAACCCTCATAGATGAAACAATATAAAATTGTGATTCAAAGCAAAAACGCTCCAATCTGATTAATAATCTCAGTCATAGATTAATTATACAGAGCCACAGAGAGAGAGAGAGAGAGAGAGAGAGAGAGCATTTGCCAGTAGTTAAGAAATTACTTGAGCTTTTCCTTGTAGCTGTCAACGATTTCCTGTTTTTCTTCTGTTGTAGAGTACCAAATAACACTTGGAATGACAAAATAAGAGAGCTTGCGACAGATTGGACAGGCTCTCAATGTGGTATTCACATCCATACCCAAGGTTGGGTTACTACTACGCCAATTCCTAATACAAGATATGCAGAAGGGATGATCACATTCAGATAGTAGCCCAAACTTACGTTCAGCTGCTGTGGGCTTTGAAAGAACACGCTCAAGGCAAACACTGCATTCAATTTCTTGACTTTGTTTCAATGCCTCAAGATGCTTTTGCTTTTTATCGCAAGTCTTAATATGTTCCTCTCTTTCTTCAGGTCGAAATGGATGTAAGCAGTGCTTTCCACAGGTAGGACACAGGTCTCCGTGAATAAAAGGGCATTTCTCCTTCCTGGGGCAATTACCAGCAGCAGCAAATGAACAGATAGGACGTTCAGAAGGATCTGCAATTCTGGATTCACTGGCGTCACTATCCTCTGAAAAATCTTGAAACTCAGATTCTGTATTCCAAGCATGAAAAAGATCAGGAACATGTGACTCAGATTCTCCATTCCATGCAGGAATAATAGGAAAGGAAGGTCCACTGCGGGAAGACAACTCAGGAATTGTTGCAGCTCCATTTGACGTGACTCTAGCACTACCAACTATAGAAGAATCTGAATTTAGGGGGCATACACTTGCAGAAGAAGATGGATGATAGGACTGTTCATGAGAAGCTTTGACATGGTCGTATCTGCAGCGACTACCATAGGCACAGACTCCTTTCTGATAATATGTACATATCTGTCAAAACAAGACAAGATACAAGAAGCAGATAAGAGCAGTTTATATCACTAAATATTTTTAGGTAAACGTTAAAGCGAGGAACTTGTATTGGATACATTATTTGGAGGATCTTTCCACTCATGAGAAAATTCACAATGCGCCCCCTTCAAACATGCTCCGTGGGCAAAGAATTTGCAAAGAACCCTAGAGGATTCAGAAATCAACAATATAGAAGTTAGAACAATTTGCAAGCTGAAATAAAACGACAGACTAACTCAACACAGGAAACAAGCACATTGGTTGTCCCAAACTTCAGAAAACAGGGTCACAATTAGAAGCATTTAGCCTCAAACCTACAAAGAAAGACACTGTGTGCTAATTAAAAGATAAATTCATAGGAAAAATGCGTCCAACATCAACTAAAATACTCATAAAGCAGAGCAACATAATCAAATTTCACCCATTTGTAGAGTTCTAAACATTTCCAAGCAACATAGAAAGAGTTTCTAGATTCATGGGCAATAATGATAAGAACGAAGTCGCTGGAATTATACATAAAAGTTAAACCATACTTTTACCTCCTGCTATTTGCATCCAACGATGGCCTCCCAAAATTAAAAACAATAAGAAAAAGAATTATTTATGCCTTCTGAATAGTTCATGGGCACAGAATCGACTGTCAATTTTCCCGGCACAACATATTAACACAAACTGCTCGTGAATAGATCATATCCATTTTGCATCTTTTCCTGGCCTACCGGCATCTGACAATCAAGAAGCCAAACAACCTAATTTCCACGTTCAATACTCAATTCTTCCACGCTCTTTTGTTCCATATGGAGAGACCACCCAACCGATAATAAAAACTAAAGTTTTTTTTCTTTTCCTCTAATTTCCTTCAAACAGCCGGCACCCAAAATAAAGGGAACCAATAACACAAATTAAACCGGATAAAGAAACAAGAACAACCATAGCCCCATCACAATCCCGAGAATGGCAGAAACCGTAGGCCGCAAAATGGACACCCAACAATCAATCACGCATTTAACAGCTATAAGGTTCTCACCTCTTAGACATGGTGGGAATAGAAAATCCGATAAATTAATCGAGAGAGGCGGGCGGGAGGATCAAAACCCTAAACCTCCAAGCAATTTTTGTTGGTTGTAAAAAAGAAAATGAAAGAAGAACGAAAATCCAGAAATCTCTTAGATGGGTTCGCAACCGTTGAAGGAAAGAAAAAAGAGTGCAAGTATTATGGGGATCCCACCTGAAGGAGAGGGGTGTGGCGGGCGAAGGATAAAAATATAGAAAATTAGAGATATGAGGAAAGATAGATTTTCGCTTGAAGATTTGGACGGTGACTATAAAACAGCCTCAGTGACTACAAGTCGCAGAAAATGGTTGAAGCACCACAAACCAATTTCCCATCTCGCGCCGTTTCAGCTCGGTTAACTCGTCCGAGTCCGAGCTTGCCTCCTCTCTCCAGCAAGCACTGTGCGGTTCATTTTTACAAAATTACAACCAAGTCAACAACAATGATCATTGCAAAAATGATCTCTCCAACTATCAGCTACTGAATTAAGAAATAATTCATTAAATATATCTTAATGAATTATTTCTAAACCCTTATTGAAGAGATAGGCACTGGAGGAAGTAAATTAAATATAAAATTATTATATTTTTTACAGAAATTTTAAAACACTGATACAAAATATAAAATTTAAAGCGAAAATTCATTGGTGAAAGGTCATTCAAACTAGTGGATTCAATTAGTTGAATGGGAAACTGATTTAGCGTCCGGTTTGGACATGAGAAAAAACCGAAGGATTAAATATCTATTCAGGGATTTTTATCCCCCAAAAAAAAAAAGGATCTCTTGAGGGATATTAAATTAGTAGAATTGATGCTTGAACCAGTGATATTTTTTATTTTTAAAATTTTAATTCATAATTCTATGTTACGATTTATGCATATTTACGATTCCAATTATAATGTGTATGTATTTAGGTATGTATATACATTTTAAAATAAAACATATAAATAATGAAATATATATACATTTTGGAGGAAGAGGTTGGGATCTTGATGAATATTGCTCTGCATCATATATCATTTTCTTTGGATTTAAAATCTATTTTTTATTATGAATTATTTTATTTTTTGATTAAATTATTATTTATTTTTTTATGTAAGCACAGGTTATTTAAAACACCATTTCATTTGTGTCATTTTGTATTTTCAACATAAAATTTTTTGCCACACTCACACCTGACTCTTCTCTTTTACTTTTATTATTTTATCAATTGATTAAAAAATAATAATTTGAAATTATTTTTTTTAAAATACCATTTATTGATTTAACAGTATAACTTCCTAGAAGTGATGTTTCATGCGATTTCTGTTGAAAATTTAAACTTAATAAAGTAAAATAGGTGATATGCCGGTCTCAATTGGTATAAAATTTAAAAATATTGCTTGACTCAACTAAACTTGTTGAAAAATGAAAAATATATTGTATGACTTTGAAATTGGTTAAAAAGTATATTTTATCAATTGATCAAAAAAAATAATTTGAAATAGTTTTTTTTTTTAAAATACCATTTATGGATTTAAAATAATATAACTTCCTAAAAACTGATGTTTTAAACGATTTCTGTTGAAAATTTAAACTTAATAAAATGAAATAGGTGATATGCCGTTCCCAATTGATATAAAATAAAAAAAAAATATTGCTTGACTCAACTACACTTGTTGAAAAATGAAAAATATATTGTATAACCTTGAAATTGATTAAAAATAATAATTTTAAATTGTTTTTAAAAATCCTATTTATAGATTTAAAATAGTATAACTTCCTAGAAGTGATGTTTTAAACGATTTCTGTTGAAAATTTGAACTTAATAAAGTAAAATAGGTGATATCCCAGTTCCAAGTGATATAGAATGAAAAAAATATTGCTTGGCTCAACTACACTTGAAAAATGAAAAATAAATTGTTTAACTTTGAAATTGATTAACAAATATATTGTATGAAAAATATATTTTATCAGTTGATGAAAAAGTAATAATTTGAGATTGTTTTTAAAAAGTACCATTTTAGATTTAAAATAGTATAACTTCTTAGAAGTGATGTTTCAAAAGATCTCTGTTGATAAAGTGAAATAGGTGATATGCCGGTCCCAATTGATATAAAATTTAAAAATATTGCTTGACTCAACTACACTTGTTGAAAAATGAAAATGTATTGTATAATTTGCTCTTTCAATATATTATTTTTAAAAAAAACTAAAAACCGGATATAGTTTGACAAAAAATAAACAACTTATATTTTACAACAAATTGTTAATATAACTATTCATAATTTAACAATTAAAAGAAATTTATATCAAGAGCCGGATATAAGCATAGTGATCCTAATATAACCATTTCATATATGAACCAAGTTTGCATTGCTTGAATAACCCATCTTTACAAGATAAATTGAAAATTCACATACCAAAGCCCACCTTAGAGGATTAAAGAACCCTGCCGCATGAAATCTCAACCTGTAGAAAGAGGCTGGCACAAATCACATCTTCAAAAAAAGCATGAGACTAGCCAGTTATACAAACCGGCAAAGGATCCAAAAGAACTATAGATATCCAAATTACAGTGTAAGAGCCAAGAACCTTCAGTTACAACTGAGATTTTCCAAATTAAAAGATAGCTGCCAACTTGCCACGCATTCAATTCCAAAACCTAGCTAATCATGAGCATTAAATAAACTCGCTAAGACTAGTCAGTCATCCTCCTCCTCTTCACTATCTTCTTCCATGTTAGCTCGCATCATCATTGATAAAAATGCTGCTTCCGAAGGTTTTAATTCATCAACGTTCAAATCCTCAAAAGGGTATTCCAACGATGCTGATAATGCGCCCATCTCAAAAAACCCCATTTCTTCATCATCAGAATCTTCGTCACCGAAAAACCCGGGTCCTGAACCAAGCATATCTGATATAGCCATTATCTCCAAAGGATCCATGTCTTCGAAACACTCAGTGTCCCGCATGATGTTGTAGAATTCTCCACTTTGTAAATCAAATTCACTGAGCATTTCTATCATGTCACACATGTCCATTTTATTGTTTGCTCTGCAGCGGCGAGGAGGTGGTGGCCTACCATGTCTCCATGTCACCGAGCCAGGCTTCACGGTATGCTGCAAGACCAACCATCAAAATAATTAGAGGCACCACGACATTATTCTTTTTTAACAAATAAAAAGGCCATAGAAATGAAGACAAACTCACAGCAAAAAGAAAAAGAAAGAGCAATGTTACTATTTTGGATGATTCCATACTGAGATAAAACGTTAGAATTTAGCTGTGGTGTTTTTATTTTTATTTTTGAACTCTTCTACAAATAAATATTTTAACATTTTACTGGAACACACTACAATAAAGGACACTATAGGATTGCTAATCATATAACATAAACAAATGATTACCCAAGAACATGCAAGAAAAATTTACCTAGACCGACAAAAAATTGAAAATGGTAATGGGCGAAATCTTAGTTGTTGATTCAGATGGGCATTATTAATCCATATGATATAAACTCATGATTCAAATACCACAATTGATCAATGTTAAAATGTTCACAAACAATATAGGATAAATTGCGCACACAGAATTTTGATAGCAACAAACAGATTAAAAACACTATCGTTCATTTCATCAAGGGGGGAAGGAGGGCCAAATTTCCAAAGGGATCTCCACACAATTGCCAGCAATCGTGACAATCAAACTTCCATAGATAAGACATAAGAGATGACAATTCTATTACCTTGTAGAAACACCTAGCTCCAAATGGACAGTTCCCATTTCCAAAGTCAAAATGCTTGCAATCAATCAACCTGACCAAGACAAGATCACATTCAATGAAAACACTCTAGCTTAAAGTGATATATTGTTAAGTTTACCTAACGTTCCAAATAATCAGACTGTTCCCTAGATAAGCCTAATATACAGTGCCCAGAACTACATGTGTAAATACAAAAACAAATCCCATGCATAATGGGAAGAAAGTGTGCATACGAGAGCAAGAGGGATAGAGAGGATGGAAAAGGAATAAAGCAGTGAAGAGAGGAAGGGAAGATTTTACACAAGAAATCCCCATTACTCTACCACAACTAAAAAGAAACTGAGATTACGCAGTTAAGTTTAAAATTAATGTTGGAAAAGGAAGATAAGTGGGTAAGAAATTACTTGCAATTTGCCTTGTAGTTATTGATAATTTCCTGCTTTTCTTCCATTGTGGAGTACCATATAGGACTTGGAATTACAAAATATGATAGCTTGCGACACACAGGGCAAGTCCTCACTGTATTATTAGTAGCATTAAAGATGTCCTTTTCAGAGTCTAAGGCACTGTTACGCCAATTCCTGATACAGGATAAGCAGAACGCATGGTCACATTCAGGAAGCATCCCAAACTTACATTCAGATGCTTTAGGCTTTGAAAGAACACGCTCCAAGCAAATATTGCACTCTATATCTTGACTATCTTTCAATGCCTGATTGTATTTTTCTTTTTTCTCACAAGAATTCAAATGATTGTCTCTCTCCCTTTGATCAGTAGGATGCAAGCAATACTTTCTACAATACAGACACTGGTCACCATGAATGTGTAGACATTTTTTCCCTAAGGGGCAGTTGGCTGCAGCATATGTACAAAAGTTATGCTTTGCATGTACAGCATTACTAGATTCACCAACATCACCATTCTTTGGAGAATTTGGATGCTTATGACGACCAACACTTGCAGAATTTGCACTCTTGGGAATCCACCTAGATTTTCCTTTAGTAGTATGATCTATAACAGACTTTGAAGACATAGACTGTCGACCATTTTCTGAAGATGATGCAGAACTTGCCTGAGAAGCTTTGACATGTTTATATCTACATCGACTACCATAAGAGCAGTGTCCTTTCTGATAGAATGCGCAAATCTGCTTTCAGCAAATAAGACAAGTGAGAAACATATACAAGTTTTTCATGGGAAGCATACCGTGTGGGCTATCAAGTACTGTAATTTCAAAATGAAACCATACGATATACATGTTTGACATGTATCAAATATGACATGATAATTAAAAAATTGCATGAAGACACTATTTTTGTTTTGTGGCGTCTCATATCCAGTCAGAATCCCTTCTTTTTAGAGTAAAGGAAACCAGAAAGGCAGTAAAATACATCAACTGGAGTATCCTGTTTGTCATGAGAATAATCACATTGCTCCCCTCTGAAACATTTTCCACGGGCGTAGAACTTACAAACCCTACGAGGAATAGAAAAACAAAAATTAGAACACACACACATAATAATTACAGGAATGAATAATTGAAGAGGACTCCGAAAATTCCAATGGAAAGCTATACAAAACACAATGACAAGATATCATACAAATTAAATCTCACAGTTGTGAACCTACTGAATATTCCAACATAGTATAAGTTGTAAGTTTCAACCAACGATAAGAAAGTGGAATTGCAGTAAACCCATGCCAAATAATGAGGTCATACATTAACACACGATAATGCCCCAACAGACTTCTCTTTTTTTAACAGATACAATTAAATAAAGGGGAAGAAAAGCGATCAAATAATTGTACAAAACACTTCCAATATCGTTCATAATATCAATCGATAGGGATCCATCCTCCGTCAAGCATTCGGAGAACATTGCCCCCAAATATCCCCAATCCAGATTCATTCCAGAGAGGATTAATCGATAAAACCGATTCATAAATTACCAAGCAATGGCTAACAAGCAAACTACCGACAGACAGCATCAAAGGAAGGCGAAATTTGAAGGCCCATTCACAAAAAGAAAAAAAGAAAGGAAAAGAAACCGAAGGATTAATCGATAAAACCGAACAACGATAAACAATTTGACCAAATAAAACAAGTAGCAAAAGATAAATTGAACCTCTTACCTCTTAGACATGGCGATCAACTGAAAGCGAGCGGACGAGTGCTGGGCAAATCAGAATCAGAATAGGCCTTGAGGAGATAAAGATGGGTATAAAGGGCCGATAATTTCGCAGATTAAAGGCCTAACAGCCTGACCTAAGCAAGAAACGAAGCGTAACCCATTTGAAAGATGGTACCCGAGGGTTTTTGGCGGTTAGGATCCCGTACAAAGGCCAACACCAATATGCTTATAACACCACTGTCTGCCTGAAGTTACGAAAATACCCCGCATTGTGCTCTTTCCGCGGGAAGGCTACGCGCTCTTTGAGGGGCCCACAAATATTAAGGACTCGATTTTCTTTTATCATAAAAATTCATTATAAATATGTTAGATGTTTTAATTAAATTATCGTTGATTGTTAATTAATATCGATTAATTATTGTTCCATTTTTTAAAATGTGTTTCAATTTCAATGTAGTATAATGTATTTTATGAAACTTATAAGTACAGTTAACATTTTTGCCGATGGCTGTTTTTGTTTTCCATGGGTAAGAAGGTAAGTGTGCCTTGGGTGCAAATAATGACTTCATGAAATGTACCGTGGCGAAGTTCGACTTGGCAAGAAAATAAAAATGAATAATTTTATTTTATAATAATTTGTTCCGTCTGTTTGCATATATTTATTTTTTGAAGATTTTTTGATTAATTCAAGAAATAAAGTAGTGGTTTATTTAAAATAAATAGTTATCTTTGTTTACCAGTATTTGTTAATTAATTAATAATTAATAATTCATTGTAATTGCAAATTGCAAATTATAAAAACCTGGAGTTGTTTGGGGCAAATTGACTGCAGTACTATAAAAAGGAAAAAAAATTATTTCCCCGTATGCTACACTTTTAAAAGTATTTCCTGGTATGTTATAAATTTAAATATTGATTTGATGCAAATCGAGTTTAATTTTTTTTAATATGAAAGCATGGGACTTAATTTCAATCAAGCCAAATTTTATATTTTATTAAAAATAATTGACGTGGGAAGCTGACATATGTGAATAATCATCCCTTTTTCATTGTTTTTTATTCTATTACTCAATAGTTGGCATATTGAAAAACCTGAAGATATTATCACCTTCTGCTTGGATTAATGCAATCTCCCCTTGTGTATGACTGTTATCCATGTGGATTTGTATATGAATTTTATATTTAAAATATTACATTTTAAATTTGATGTTTAAAATTCACATATTTAAAAATATTTATTTGGGTAGTTTAAAAAATTTCAAATGAAAATGAGAGATATGTTGATATTTGAAAAAAAAATAAAAACATGAGAAATTTGAATTAATGAATTTATATAATAGTGATGTATTACATATCTAAAAGTGATGTATTACATAATAGGCCCTTATTTTTTTAATTGATAAGAAATAAGAACGAGAGATAAAAAGACATAAAGATATTAATAAAAAACATGAGAAATTTGAATTAATGAATTTATATGAATGTGTTTGTTTTGGTTAATTAAAATTGAATTGGATCAAATCTCTTTTATAGGTGCACAAAAATTTAAGTACCAAATCCAAATTTATTTATTTCTTATTAATTTTTTTGTAATTTAAAATTTCATTTATATTATAGTCAATTTAAAATTTCAATCACTTTTAACTTTTCATTTTTATGTTTTTATTATTGATGTCTCTATCTTCTCATCTCTATTTTTGAGTGTCTTACGACCCATTCAATTAAAAACTTTTAACTCTTATTAAAAAATTTGATTCAATTGACAATGAATTGACCAATAACATTTATCTTTATGAACATTTTTTGAGTTTAAAAATATATCATAACCTTAACCTTAATAAATTTGCAAAATCTAACTTACCTAATTTTTTTATATTAAAAAACTTCAAACACTTAATAAATAAAATAATATGTTAACAGATTTTTTTTAGTCTCTTAATTTTTTTTATTTCCACATTTTTTCTCTTTTCCTACATAATAAGTAATGTTTAAATACTGAAAAAGCATTTTGTAAAAGCTTTTGAAAATTGTATATCTTGCTATTCATCAAGTATCATATAAATTTTAACCAAATAAAAATTATATAATTTTTAAAATTTTGAACGAGAAATGAAGACAACAACATTAGGATTAACAAAAAAATGAGTCCATCCACAAATAAAGGCAAGTGAATAACTTACCTCAATTTTTCATTTAAAAACATGGCCCAAAATCATTTTCTTTGTACGGAAAAAGTTAATGGCAGGGAATTTGGGCTTCTCGGCCCGTCCAGTATATCAGACCTTAGCTTAGCCCACTCACAATCCAACAATTCTCTTGCTTCTACAGTATTTTCTCAATCGTGACTTCTCTATTGGCCTAATAACAAAAAGCAAGAATGCTGAGACATTTCTCCACTTTCCTTCGTTCAGTATTATAAAATATTTCTTTAAAAATATCTTCTACGTACAATTAATAAGGTTTATTCAAAAAAAATTAATTAGGAAATGTAATTAATAATTTTTTAATTAAAACACTCTGTTAAATAAGAACAAAAAGAAAAAAGTGTGTAATTTAAAATATAATTAAATAATTTATTGGTGGTATAATTTGATTAAAAATTCTTTATAATTCTAATCAGACAGAGTATAAGTTATTACTAGCACACCCTAAAGATTTGAGGCAAAAAAAAAAAATTGATGGCATTTCTCTTATTAGTCATTACATCATAAATGAAAGTCAAGAATAATGCAAAAAGATGAATGGAGAACAACCAGCCAAGAAATTTTCTTTATAATAAAAATATTGTAGTGTGTGTTTTTTAATTTCTCCCTCAACAATAAGGTTTAGCTAACTCTGAATACTATCATATATTCCCCTCTATCTTTGCTAGACTTCAAAATTTCTCCTGATTTGTTATGTTTAGTTCCCCCTTACTTCATAATAATATTGGATAATATTCCTTCCAGTCTTTTTGATGAGCACCTATTAACAATTCCATGTAAATTAAACCAATTTAGTCAAGTTTTTTTTTTAAAAAAGTTACAAAATTACTCTCAATTAAAGTTATTAATTAGAGGAATTTGTTTCGTTGGTTAAATTTTTGTACAGTCAGTTACAGCTAGTAGGTGAAAAAAATTAATACTTTAAGCATAATATGTTACATTAAAAAATGATTTATAATAATAATGGGAGGTAGTAGTATATGTAGAAATAATATATACCAAAGTTAATGTGCAAAGCAGCAATATTGCATAGAGTATTGCAACGTTATATGTCTAGAGTAAACGAAGGAACGTAACAGGGGAAAAAGTAAGGTCACTCTCAGTTGGCCTTGAATTTATATTTTAATCGGTGGAATTTTATGACCTTATTTTTCATCAGAAAAAGAATATATATTACCTATAAACTTGAATATAAATGTAATGTGATAATACTCTTTGAGTTTGAAAATGCTTTAATGGATGTTTGAAATTTCGTTAGCACGCAAGGAATAAAACATGGTTTTGGATTACTTCGATCAAAATGTAGTTTTGACCCCCAAAGTGGTTCTTAACACACCTTTAATAACCTTAAAAATCACAAAAAAGGCAAAAGCTACATATTTTATAATTGGTAAATTAATATATTAATGCCCTTCTTCATCCCTTCAAAATAAGATATCATTTTTTTCAAGAAAGCTCATAAATGTTTTTTATTCCTGAATTTTGATTGACTAAATCAAAAGAAGTCATTGATCTGCCATAAATATTTTCTCAAGAATGTTTAGATTATACATTATCCATTTACGTGATCACCCAAAAAAACAAAGAAAAAGAAAAAAGCAACACTTAGCTCGACAAATTATAAACATACTACTGTAAAGCCATATTTAAGCAGAAGAAACTAAACTAGCTAGAGGCGCGAGGGATATCAAAATAATAAAAAGACAATACTAATATAATATCTAAAAGTATATATATTATACATGATTCTATTTTTTCATATTATCCAATTTTTGACCAATTATGAGTTGAGTCAACAGCTTAATCAGCTCTCTCACTAACCATTTTTTATTCACAAAAGTCAAACTCACGAACCTCTCAGACCAGTAGCAAACATGTAAACATGCAACTTGAACTTTTCAAGATCATCGCTACATTGAGTTGTGGGCATCATGTTCAATCTCAGAATTGGCTTCATCTTCTTCCTGCAAGGAATGATCATCAAGGGCAGGAGAAGCTCCAGCATGGCCATGGCCGAAAGCCCTAATGTGGTCCTTGAGAGACCTCTTGTGTTTGAAGTCAGATCCACAAAGGCAATACCATATTTTGCCACAGTTCTTCTCGTGGGTCCTCCAGTCGCCTTTCACAGCGAAGGCCTTGCTGCATTTCTGCACATGTAGGGTTTGGTGCCGTGCTTCCTCTTGTAATGAGTTTGCAGGGTTCTGAAATCCTTCAGAGGCCTTGTTCTTGGGTGGTCTATGTTGTGCTTGCAGTTTGGTGCACAACAGAAACATGGGAGCCTTAGCATTGCCGTAGGTTGTGTTCCTCTTAGAGAATCTGGTCCCTTTCTGTACTGAGATCCATGCCCCCACATATGCATCTGCAAAACTTGTGTTAGATCGATAATCAACCCAAACAAGGATGAGCTGCTCATAAGCCACATGGCTCCTGAGAACAGGTTTTACATATAGACAAGTACAAGATTGAGTCATATACATATATATATGTTTCTAGCGGTAATACACATGCATTAATATAGAGAGATAAGAGAATAATTTATATATATATATATATATATATCTGTGTGTGTGTGTAACTTTATATGTAGAGTGAGAGTCTACTTTAATTTCTCTCTTGTTACTGATCACTTCTAATTTTGTATCTCTAAATCCATATTAAGCACTTAACAACTCACTTATAATTTAAAATTAAAGATCCAAAGTTGTCAGATGCTAGCATTAACATAATACAATTCTTCAATTACATATGAACGTTTCCAATTTTATGATCCTGTGTTTCTGGGATAGAATATGTTGGCTTTCCTAAGATTTATAGGCGAGGTTTTTATATAAGCTGGCAAATTTTTTAGTTCTTGTGTCTTCACTTAGCTTCGACTTGTAACAATGTCTATTATTTGAACCATATCTCATAGTCCTAATTAATTGCTTCCAATAATTAAGAGAATGATTAATTATAATTACAAAATTAAGCCTCTTTTCCTGCTATTTAATTCA